TAAGAAAAAAACTCAGAGAAAGAAACACTTCCCATAAAAACATATTCCAATATATTTGATATTTGAATTTTGTCACCCTTTCAGCATTGGACTAGGTTGTTCGGGAGATAAGCAAAGTGTTGTCTGAGTCTGAACAGTATTGTGGGTTATTTGCATTAAGTATTAATCTTAGGTAACAGTGCCTTACAGTGCATAAAAGGACAAGGATAGGCTCATTTGTCAGTGGTTTAATGAATGGCATCAGAAGTAGAATAAACTAGTCTTGTCCACATGAAGATAAAGTTGGCATTCACACATGAAAGAGACATTAGCTGACATTTTATAGAAGTTATGAGGATATAGCTACATGGGAACTGTGCACGTCTATGAATTCTGCACAATACAGCCCTGCAAATGTTTCACAATATAAGCCATTGAAATGAAGGAATTCTGTCTACTCAAATACTTGAGAGCGTTTAATGTGAAACAGGTAGAACAGGTAGAACAGCCAGAACCAAAGTTTGTCAGGAAGTATGGAGTTTGTATTTTACAGCATAATGCAGTAGGAAAAATTAAAAACAAGCTAAACGGGAACAGATCAGAACACAATGAGCAGTATTCATATTAAAATATGACCAAATATTGAGGGAATTAGAAATAAAGGCCTGTCACTAATATAAGCCTGCTTTAAATAATGGCCCTCTGTAGTTGAGGTAAATAAAGGTGCTGGTACTATTAGACAAATTACAGTATTATTTTAAACGTTTAATCGAAATCCTACATAATGTGGCACACCTAATGGGAATGGGAATGTGGCACTTGGTAAACTAAATATTTAAATAGATATTTAAATATTTGAATATTTATGTTCAACCCCGTGTTGCCGGAAGTATTTAAGGTTGCGCTCAGGTCCGTCGCCGTAATGAGTCCCCTTCCATGAACGATGTGTTTGCTTACAACTGTGTGGTTTTTCTTCTCACACGTGTTAAAGTCCCGGGCAGTCTCAGCTGTTAACTTCGCCAGCAACAAGTCAACAACATAACATTACTCATAAATTAACGTCTGCACCATTGTAACCAACACGACAACCAAAGTGGCTAGTAACGATAGAAGTTAATGTTAGTTTAGTTAATAACGTTAGTACGTTTGTTAGCTTTAGTACTAAGCCAGCAGGGTTAAACATACATTAAGTGTTTTTTTCTGTGTCGTTTTACATTTAAATGCTAGCTGGTTGGATAAGTTACTGGAGTCAACCATACAACCTGGTGAGTAACATTATTTTGGATTTCGCCGTAGTGTTTGTTGAAGCTTTGTTGAATGTTTGTTTGGGCCAGATGTACCTCACCACTGGTCTAACAAGCTCTTGTCCTTGTTGAGGGTTTAGTATCTGTGAAATCTGCTCTATTGTTAATTCAGTTTTTACCTTTTTATTTTCACTTTTTTCATCTGCAGAGGGAACTGGGACGAAGATTTGTCAAAGACTTTGCAAGTTTACTGAATCAAAGAAGGAGAGGTGCGTTAAAAACTGGCTTATAATGATGAATGATTTATCCCGACAGCATGGAGAAGAACAGCTATAAATTAAATGTCTTGTATCATGTTGGCCCATTTCCACCTACCACCAACGACTAAACAAGCACTATTAAGAGCCTATCAGTACAATTTGTCTGGGAATGTTTGTGTAAACCAAACTTGATACCAAAAAGTGGGCTGTTATTAATCTAATTTAAAATGACAATACCAATGCAGCATATTTTGTGTTTCCTAGGTTGTTTAATAGGATAGTGGTTAATTCATATCAAGCTGCATGTGCCATCAGTAGAAAGTACAGTATACTACACTAAGTTTGACGTTGTTGTATTCTCTTAGGTTTCTGTACTTCCTGAGAGAAACCCTTGCTCGTAGATAATGCTGGACATAACGTTACCTGATAAACATCTTTCTGCTCATCGTTCAAAGCTACTGTACTGGTGAGTAAATTAAGTTGAGTTATTTTTTTTATCACAAATTTAGATTAAAACATAAACTCTAATCTAATCAGATTATCCAATTGATAAATTATTCTCCAAATTCCAACAACAGAAACCAGTAGTCCACTGTGCCGTGTTTTTCACATAGCTACTAGAAATTAAATTGAAAGTTGCCAGCAACTTGTGCAGAGAAACAGAGAAACATTTCCGTGATTCAGTCGAGCTAATGCCCAGAGCAGAACACTGGAAAAGTCCACAGCATCAAAATATTATCACATATTATGTGTGATTATGTGTCTTCTTGGGGAGTACTACTGCATAAATGAAAAAAAACATGTACATAACAACTCCAGAGGGAGTTACGCAAAAGCTAATGTAGTGCCTCAAGTGATGTCACTTGAGTCAGGCTGTGTTGGAGCATCAAGTTTTAAAATGAAAAAAATAAATAAAATACAGTGCTGCGTAGATAGAAAGTGAGGTTACCAGACCTCTGTAGCCATCTTGGCATGAGGCTAATGGCTTAAAACTACATTAGCAGCTCCAAGCACGACACACCAGAATCTCTGACCAAAATTGTCCGCGAACGAGTTGCATTGTGGGTAATGTAGAGAACAGGTTTTGACAAGGAAGAAGAATGCATGGAATAATAAAGAGATGTCCAACAGAGTTATAGGAGTGCAATGCTAAATTGTGGTACTAATGTAGACTATGATATGATTTGTAGCTTTATGTAGACTCTACGTCAAGCCCCTTTTTTTGTGTACTTAAAACAATAGTGACTTAAACAGAAACTCTTCCTCGTCTATCTCCTTAATCTATCTTGTGTGTTCCATGTTTCCTTTTCCCCCCTTTGAAACGAGAGGACGAGGAGACAGACAAGAGGCAGTGTCCTACACTTGCTTGTTTGTCTGTGAGAATGTGTGCGTTTGAAGAGGGATTCTCAAACAGCATTATTAAGTGATTTTGGTTTTGCATGAGTCGCCTCCATTCCTCAGACATCAGAAAACATAGTTGTAGCAGTCTCTGTCGGTGTGACGTGTAGTTACAGAAGCTCTTCTGTCAGACCATTGCAAAGTCTTGAACAACTAACAGACCAGTAATCCTGATGCTGCAATCATTGTTTCTAGAGACTTCAACAAGGCTAACCTTGAGAAAAATATGCCTGACTGCCTTTAACATATTTACAATGCCATATGAGGAATAAACATTCTTGATCACCGTACACATCTGATTCAAAAACGGTTACAGAGAGGAATTGCTGCTTGTGTATTGTTGGAGACAAAAAGATCTCAACAGAAAAACTCTTTTTTGTAGATCAAGCCCTGCCAAGCCATGTGGTCGTCCTGTTCCCTCTGTCCATGGTCCTGAAACAACTAGTGCAACTGGAAACTTCTCTTTCCTTTTGAGTCATATTTTCTGAATTTTGGACATGGTTACTACTACTACTAATAAAAATAATAGTATGAATAATTTTTATTGTCATCTTAATCTAATAAGAACAAGTAAGTGAGATACATATAAGCATACGTTTGCAGACTTTTATAATAAATAAGTGTTCCAAATAAGAGACCACATACATTTTTGTGTTACAGATTATGTTTTGGATTTGATTTCATTAATAGATGTATCATTATCAATCATGTGTAGATGACTCATGATGTCAGAACATGGATTTTGAAACCAGTCTTGTCAACATTAATTTGGCAGTCACAGTGTCTGTATTTATTATCTATATTATCTATGTATATATTGCATACTGTTTCTTCTTCTATCTTGAACTTGGATTAGATTATTATTAGTTTGTGTGTACCGCTCATTCTGGTACAAAGCTTCAATTCAATTCAATTCAATTTATTTTGTATA